GGAGCCCGCCGATTGCGGCTCCCGGTCAGGAACATGCGAACCCTCAGACCGAGGATCCGCCTCAGGAACTGGGGAGGCCACCGACTGTGGCTCCACCTCAGGGACAGGTGAGACCACCGACTGTGGTTCACCCTCAGGAGCAGGTGGGACCACCGACTGTGGTTCCACCTCTGGAACTGGAGGGAATGTCCAAGGAGGCTCAAGTTCAGCCTCTGAGGAGGCGTGAGGTGTCAGTAGAGAGCTCTTGGCGATCTGTGGCCTTTGCTGAGGGGCTCCTGGAGGCATTCCTTCACCAACTCCATCTTCTGAAGATCTTCTAATCCTTAGCTCAGGGGTCTCAAGATGGCACAGGGCAGGCTCAGGGGTCTCTGGACGGCACAGGGCAGGCTCAGGAGTCTCTGGATGACACGGAGCTGACTCAGGGGTCTCTAGACGGCACAGAGCTGACCCAGGGGTCTCTAGATGGCACAGGGCTGCCTTAAGGCGACGCCTTCTCTTACGCCGAGAGGTTTTAGGAGCTAGGCTAACTGGTTTATTGATAGGAACCGAAGCAAAAAAATCAGGTAAAGGGTCAGGTTGTAAATTAACTGGGTCAAAATCTGGATCTGGCTGGCGTATAACAGAAAGTGGTGGCTCGAGAGGGAAAATGTCTTCTCTATCTCCATAGAAAAACTCCCTTAGGTCATCCTCATGGATGTAGGGATCACGAAAAACGGGCGAGGGGACAGGTCTAGACTCCACGGTGACGGGTGCAGGGGTATGATCTGGCTGGCGGGGAACTCTAACAGTCTGACGTGAACTAGGTTGGGCAATCTTGAGTTTTTTAACGGATGGTGTTAAATGATGTTCTAGAATATGTGAACAGAAACTAACCCGGCGCGGAAAGGAACTGAAACTGGTGTGTGAAGCTAAGTCTAAACCGATGGCTAATTCAATGAGGTCCTCTAGGGTAGCAGGCTCGACGTAAAAAGAAAGCTCCTTTCTGATGGAACTGTTTAACGCCATGAGATAAGCGGACATGAGCGCAGACTCGTTCCACCCGGAAACGGCTGCTTTAATCTGGAACTCGTTAGAAAACTCGGCTACAGACCTATTACCCTGCTTAATATTCAGAAGCTCACCAGAAAGACAACACATAGTGACCCTACAAAAGGCTTTTTCTAACGCCAGGATAAAACTCTGATATGTACAATCTTTTCTGGTTTTTAGCGGAAATTTTGTCTCCGCCCACTCAAGGGCTTCACCAGACAAAAATGAAACAACAAAGGCGATCTTATCCTGATCAGTAGGAAAACTAGAAGTATGAAAACCGAAAAATAACTGACACTGAAATAAAAATCCCTTGAGCTTACGTGGGTTACCTGAAAATCTCTCAGGCAGAGAAGGACCAGGTGACGAAAACGACGGACTGAGCTCAGAATAGAAAGGAGGGTTATTATCTTGACTCGGGGGTGACATGCGGAATTCCGGAAGTGAAGAAAACGACGGGTAGTGTTCTGACCAGAAAGGAAGGGTATCATCTTGACTGAGAGGTGACGTCACCACCGGAGAACCAGGAAGCGGAAGAGTATTCGAGGCAGGACGAGCCGCTGACGTGGCGTTATCGTTGTAGAAGTGGCTAGTGAATGATTGTTTTAACAATAACTCATGGACGGGTTGCGAGTGAATAAGTGTCAGAGCGTCCTGTTTCTCAGTCCAACGACGGAGGTGATCTGCTGGGCTTTGTGTTTGGCCGCAGTGTTCTGTCATGATGGGTTCTCTTAGAGT